AGGGAGGGGGCAGGATCGGGTGAGGGAAGTCGGCTGTGCAGCAGGAAGCCTCAGGCCAGCCATGCGGACTCGGGAGCGATAACCCCTTCCGAGGCTCCACCTGGGCCCCGCGGCGGCACAGCTGGTCCGCCCCTGAGGCCGCCCCGGAGGGGTGGGGGGGCCTCGTGGCATCTTCCCACCGGGGACCCCGGAGAAGTCTACGGGCTCCTCTCTTCCAGGAAGGGGTCACTGGGGAAGCACGTGCAGTCTTTCACCACAACCTGGCCTGGGTTTTCAGTCTGTGAGTTCAGCTGCTCCCTGCAGGTGCCTGAGCCTCCCTTCCGGACCTGCCTGGAGGAAACACCGTGTGCCCTGCAGTCGGAGGATGGCCCCGGGGGCACGTGCACAGGTGCCCAGGTTCTTGGAACGCACTGCCCTCGATGGCCTTCTGTATCAGCCAGGGATCTCCAGAAAAACAGACCACTAGGGGTGGGTGGCAGGGAGAAAGTGAGGGACAGGGTGATTTATTTTGAGGAATGGGCTCCAGTTGTGGCGACAGTGGGGTTGGCGAGTGCAGCTGGAGACCCAGGAAGGAGCTGATGTTGCAGCTCGAACCCAGAGGCCCTCCCGAGCAGAATTCCCTCCTCCTCTGGGGAGCTCAGTCTTTCCTCTTAAGGCCTTCAACTGATCGGATGAGGCCCGCCCACATTACGAGGGTCATCTGCTGATTTAAATGTTAATCACACCTAGGAAAGCTTCGTGTTCTTTCTGTCCAGTGGAATGTTATTCCACCTTAAAAAGGAGGAAATGCTGGCACCTGCTTCAGCATGGATGGACCCTGAAGACATCATGCTTCGTGAAGTAAGCCCATCCGAAAGGACAAATCCTGAGTGAGTCCACTTATATGAAGGGCCTGCAGGAGTCAGATCCATGGAGACTGGTCGATGGTGGGTGCCAGGGGCTGGGGGGTTAGTGTTTAATGGGGAGTTTCAGTTTGGGAAGATGGAAAGTTCTGGAGATGGACAGTGGGGATGGTTGCACAGCAGTGTGAATGTGCTCAATTTTCAATGCCCCTGAGCTGTGCACTCACAAATGGTTAGGATGGTAAATTTCTATGTGCGTGCTTGTGTGTACGTGTGTGGTTGCCACAAATTAAAAAAAAAAGATCGTGGTATGTGATAGATGTTTAATGAATGTCAGTTCCCCTTTCTGAGTGATATTTTACATTGCTTCGCCACTGTAATCAATATATGTGGAAAAACCCTTCACGGCAACACCTTACCAGTGTCTGGACAACTCTGGGCACCGCGGCCCTGGCGAGAGCCGTGAAATCAGCCGTCGGGCCGTCCTGCTCCTGGCGCCCCGACCCTGTCTTGCTCCCGGTCCCCACTGACTTCCTCACGCGTGGTTTGGGCTCATAGATGTGACTAGTGTCACGGAAGAGCTGTCGTACTTCGGACTCCTGTTCTGGTTTGACATCTTCGAGGGAAGGGGTGGGAAAGTCTTTCCTCCTCATCACCAAGCCTGGAGCCAGCGGGCCGGAGCAAGCAGCCAGGGCAGAGGCGGGCCCCCCCCCCCCCAGACCTGGGGCCAGCTTTTGCTGCGCCCCTGTCCCCGAGGCCCGCTGGTCTTGTGCCCGCCGGAGCCATCCCGTCCGTCAGCACAAATCTTGCGGCCTCAGCAGCTGGCCTGGGCCTCAGCGGGGTAAGTCCCAGAGGCTTCGGATACCCGGTCAGGCCCAGAGCCGAGCGGGCGGGGCCGGGCACACCCCACCTGCTCGGATCCGTCAGGCGGGCGTGTGCCCACGTGACTCTGGGGGCCGTGCACGGGGGGTGGGGGCAATTAGGTGGGAGCCCATCTGCGACCCTCCCCGGTGCAGGGGGGCCGGAGGCAGGGACGGGAGGCGCCCCTCAGCCCATGGGGCTCTGACCAGCACCTGCCAGCCTCTGAGCCCTGTGCCCACTGCCGGTGGGTGCGGGGAGCAGGGAGGCACTCGCTGGACGTGACGGGGTGTGTGTGAGGGCTCAGCACACGTACGCAGGTGTGTGTGCCGCTGAGACATCTTGTCACCGAACAGCCTGGCCACAAGGCTCCCCTGAGAGCCAGCTTTGCTGTTCTCAGTGGAAGGGAGGTCAGGTTTCTCGGAGAAACCCCAGAATAGCCTCTGGCCGCGCAGAGGAAACCTGGTCTGGCCTCCCGGGAGCCGGTGAAGCGCCCTGGTCCCGTCTGTCCCACCCCCTCTTGCCTCCACCCCATGGCCAGCTGTCTCCTCCCTGGGCTGCAGACCCCCAGCCCCTTCTGCGAGGGGTGGGGGGGGGGCGCTCTGGCCTGGTGTGTTCTCCCCACCTGCCTTCAGAGAGTGCCTGCGAAGCATCTGGCCCGCGGGGATACGAGAGTGTCACCTGGCCAGGGTGGGCATCCCAAAAGAACCCTCGCAACTGAAGCGATGACAGGCTGAGAGGGTTCTGAGGCAGAACGGCTGAGGCTGGGGCAGGGGCCTTACCTGGGACCTAGGATCCGAGGGGGAGCTTCGGGGTGAGGGGATGCCCAGGCCAGGGCAGGCCAGAAAGGGTCTTTGTGGGTCGGGGCCAAACCTGCCCCCAAATAGGGCTGCGGGATCTCCTGGCCATACAAGGCTCTTGGAATCTGGACCCTGGGGACCCCAGGCAGCTGGGCCCAGCTAAAACGCTGCCGACACCCCATACCTCGTACTGTGTGCACAGCAGATCTGGTGCCACCGAGAGGCGTTCTCCCAGCCAGCCACAGACATGGTAAGCCTGGTCCCGGCACCCGGCGGAGCCACGGTGGGCTCCCGGGTGGTGGAACGGGAGCTGGGAGCAGGGCCCAGGGGGAGAGAGGACGGGTCGGTGCCTCCAGGCACCCGCACGGGCTAGAGGGAAGGGGCGGAGTGGGGGCTTCGCCGGCTGCCGACACCACCCTGGCGCTGGGGGCCGGGACAGGGCAGCCCTTTCTGAAGGCTGCGATGGCAGGGACAGGCAGGGCTGTCGGGGGCTAGACCACCCCTGGAAACGCCAGAACAGGCTGGGGTCCTCCACCCTGACCCGTGTCGTGCTCCCCCACGGTGCCCTTCGCCCGGTCTCCCCTGGTGTCCCCTGCCTTCGTCCCAGAGACTGGGCCTGGCCCAGCCGGTCCTCCCTCCCGTGGCTGGCCCGAGCTTCGGTGTCCCACACCTGGTCTCTGCCCCTCGTGCCCGTCCGTCTACCCTGCCTGGCGGACTCCCGCTCCCTCCTTGAGACCCGTCGCTTGTGCCACCTTATCCGGTAGCCGCTCTGGGCCGGGGGCCTCCTTTTGTAAGCACAGGCCTCGACGGGTCGCCGGACGGATGGACGGGGCGGGGTGCCTTGTGCCACGTGTGCCGGGGCCTCCGAGCTCCCTCGGACGGAGGGGCAGAGGGGGGCCCTGGTGAAGCCGGGCGGCTGTCCCTGTAGACGGAGCGCCTGACGGCCGAGCAGATCAAAGAGTACAAGGGGGTCTTTGAGATGTTCGACGAGGAGGGCAACGGGGAGGTGAAGACGGCGGAGCTGGAACGGCTCATGAGCCTGCTGGGCATCAACCCCACCAAGAGCGAGCTGGCTTCCATGGCCAAGGACGTGGACAGAGACAGTGAGGCCGGGCAGGGGGCAGGGCGGCTGGGGGTCACCCGCGAGCGTGAGCGGGGAGGGCTGCAGCCGCCCGCCCTCACGCGGCCTGGCCCTCTGCTTGCTCCCTGCAGACAAAGGATTCTTCAACTGTGACAGCTTCCTGGCCCTGATGGGGATTTACTGGGAGAAGGCCCAGAACCAGGAGGGCGAGCTGAGGGCAGCCTTCCGTGTCTTCGACAAGGAGGGCAAAGGCTACATCGACTGGAACACGCTTAAGTAGGGCCTGGGGCTGGGCAGGGGGTGGGCGAGGGCCAGAACCCTACGGGCTGTCACTCAGTGTGGGGGCCCCGCAGGTACGTGCTCATGAATGCAGGTGAGCCCCTCAATGAGGTAGAGGCCGAGCAGATGATGAAGGAGGCTGACAAGGACGGAGACGGAACCATTGACTACGAGGGTGAGTCGGGGACAGGCCTGGGAGCTGGGTGGCTGGGCCAGGCCGGCGGCTGACCTGTCCTCCTGCTCCCAGAGTTTGTGGCCATGATGACCGGAGAGTCCTTCAAGCTGGTCCAGTAGGAGCAGGTGCTATGGCCCCGGGAGGCCAGCCCGAAGAAGGCCACTGCCTGCTGCGGCCCAGCCTGCCCCCCCCCCCACCCCGGCCAATAAACACTCCAGACAGACTCATGTGTGCTTTACTGTCCATAGCCCGGAAAGGAGGGGCTGACAGAGATGCGGGTCTGGAGAGAGGAGAGGGTTTTGTCCAGGCAGCCATGGCGCACGGCGCACGGCCCGTCCCTCCCGCTGCCCAGCTCTGGGCTCTGGACGGCAGCCTGAAGGCCGGGTTGGGGGCAGGGCGAAGACTACCATTTGCCCTGCCTGCCTGCATGGGGGAGGGGGGTGACCACCCACAGGCCCCTCCCGGAGCCCCTACAGAGGGAGATCACTTAGGGACAAATTTTATTCTGTCTCCAAAAGCCGGGGTTGTCACGGCCAGCCTGAGGCTTAGGCCTGTGGGGTCAGGGCTGAATGCAGCAGCCTTCGTGTGCATGCCTGTGTGTGTGTGTGTGTGTGTGTGTGTGCGTGCGCGTGCGCGTGTGTGTGTGTGTGGCCAACACGAGGCCGGCCGGCTTGGCTGCCTGGCGTTACATAGCAACGAGGCCAGGGCTGCAGCAATGTGCTGGACGGCCAGCCTTCCCTGGGGAAGGATGGTAGGGGTGTGCTGGGGGGTCCCCGGCTGCAAGTGCCCTCGCACCGGGTCCCTCTGAGCACGGGGTGGCTGGCAGCACTGGGAGGTTCAAGAGGACCTTCCTCTGCCTTTGAGGGGCACCAGGGCTACAGCCAGGGGTGCCGGGCACTGGAGCCTGGCTCCCGGGGCCCTGCTGATGTCTCTAGGCCTCAGGCCCCAGGGAGAGGACTGGGTTACTAAGAGGAGGGTGGCTCTTCCTGTCTGGGTTTGGACATCTTGACAGCCTCTTCGTAGGAGGGTGGCAGCTCAGGGGCATACGGGCTGTAGGCAGGAGGGGTCATGGAGTCGAGGTCCAGCTCCCCAAAGGGCAGAGGCAGCCGCGTGCCCAGCGGATACTGCACAGAACTGTAAGCTGCAGGGAACCAGAGTGGGTTTGTGTGGGGATAAGTCTGGCTCTCACTCGCCCCCCCACTCCCCCTGCAGGCACTCACAAGTCACAGTGCTGTGCACCGGGCTGTCACTGTCTGTAGGGCTGACCGTCAGGCCACAAGGCTGAGGTGTTGCTGGCAGGTGTGGCTGGGTGTGTGCCCGCTTCCGGAGGCAGCAGAACCGGACACAGCTGGCTGTGACCCCGCACAGCAGCAGCAGAAGGACAGCGAGTAAGATAAGCCTGTGCAGGGAGGAGCGGGAGCCTACCACTGGACTGACCCCTGGCCACCAGGAGCCTGCTCCCCAGGGGCAGTCAGGGCCCGACTGCCCAAGACAGGACAACGGGCAGGATAAAAGAAAACCAGAGAATGAGTGTCTCTCCAGGCCAGAGACCTTTCACCAGGCCAGAGCTGGGCCTGAGGAGCTGGCCCCTCCTGGCCTCTTGCTGCTGGGCCTGTCCTGGCTGTCTCCAGGGCTGGCCACAAGTGCCTTGGGCTCACTCCCAGGACACACTGTCCCAGGCCATCTGCACAATCCTGTGCCCAGACCGATGACCGCGCTCAAGGGGGCCTCCTGCAGGGGTGAGGAAGGAGGGGGTGGGGAGCAAGCGATGAAAGGAAGTCCAGCCAAGGGCCTGTGTGCCCAGAGCTGTCCGGGATCGGGGCAGGGCCCACGTGGGAGGCTGGCTGCCCTGGTGCTGAGGGCAGGAGGTCCTGGCGACTCGGCCGAGAGGGTTCGGGGTCTGGTGGGCCCGGCCAGGGGAGAACCGTCGGACCCGGCTCGGCACCGAGGCCTCCACTTACCCCACGTGCCACAGGCTGCTCCAGCGGGCCTGGGGCGGGCACCTGCGGGGACGGCGGCACCTGGAGCAGGTGGGGCACCAGCAGGGTCGAGTGCCCCCGCCCGAGCCTCCCGACAGGGCGGGGCCAGGCCCCGGCTCCCACCCCCCTGACTTACAGGTCCGAGGGGTC